AAAACTGCAAAGGACTCGTCCAAAGCAGTCACTGCAGGGTCAGTAATGACTGAGCGCAGACCAAAAAAAAAAAAAAACAACTTTAACACTAGAATCCTAAACACAATTTTTGAGAGTAAGTTGCACTGAACATATATAAGACTCTCCTATACATTTTTTTCCTATGCTATTCAGTTGATGAACCCTGGAATATCACCCTTAGGAAAAGTAATGAAGATAGAATGATGATAATAACAGATTGTCTCTCTCTCTCTCTCTTTCTTTCCTCCTCCTCCTCCTCCTCCTTCTTCTTCATAGGGGCGGAGAATTGTGTCTTTAGGTTTCCCCTCGAAACCATGGCTTGTGACAGCTTATCTCAAAAACAATCCAGAAATTTTGTTGAAAGGTTTGGATATATTTTTTAAGACAATGGGTTTCCATTCATTTCATTCATAGACAATACAGGAGTGCAATATCCTACTTTTCTTGTGAAAAAAGGAGGTGCTTAAAAAACAATGTCATTGATATGAAATAAAGAAAAGAATAGAAAGATGTGAAGAAGCTAAAAATAGAGGAAACCCACCAAATGCAAAACTATCAGCAGCTATAATTAAGCACTTCAGGGTTATATGCTTGTTGAACTACAAATGGCTTCATTTGTCAACATAACCTAAATAAGGAATTCCTTATATGGGGTGCTTAGGGCTACCATAGCTGAGCTTCAAATATCCAGATAACCACTAGATGACAGCAGAGTTAAGGTTTTCTGCATTGTTTGCCACCATCTTGTGGTGGCCTGGATTTATGGAATCCAGACCTGAAAGGTCTAGGGAAGCCACCACTAAGAAAGCCTTTACAAATGTTCTCTTATCCATGCCTGTGAAAGCAACATTTCTTACAACAGGTCTTATATAAAAAGATGAGCAGGTTCACATGCGGCAAGATAACAAGTAACCATATGTCATGCCACATAAGGTTTTAAAGTTACTAAATATGATCTCACTGCGAATCCAAGGCAAACCATTCAACATCACAGTAATCCAAGTCTATGCCCCAACCACTGATACCAAAGAAGCTGAAGTTGAAAGTGAAAGTGAAGAAGAACTAAAGAACCTCTTGATGAGGGTGAAAGAGGAGAGTGCAAAAGCTGTCTTGAAACTCAACATTA